AAAGAATCGAAAGTCTTGGGTGAACTTATTCAAGTTTTTACAGGCAAGTGAGAATCGAAATCTGCGGTCTTATTAATTTAGTGGAAATTCAAAGGATAAACGAGAATCCCCCCCCCCCCCCCCCTTTTCGTTTGACTTTCGTGTCCGGACGGAACGTTGGATTTCCTGAAATCTGATGTTTTGGACCGAAAAGCGACCAGATCATCACCAAGCTTTCTGTAAACCACAATTATAACTTGCAACCCCCACTGATTATCGAGGGAAATATAAAAGCCTCAGTCAAGAAGAAGCACTTCCAAGAAGAAGACGAAGAAGAAGCCACCAGAAGAAGAACTTTCGGCAACTTCCGAAGAAGAAGAAGAAGAAGAAGAAGAAGAAGAAGAACGAGCAGCAGCTACCGATCTAGAGCTTCCTTCATTTTAGATCCTGAGAAGCCTCTAGTTTAGAACAACAACAATAAAAACAAGAAAATGGCGCTGAAGTTCAATAATGTATGGTGACAACCCTAGAAGATTCTCTTGACTCTCTCTTTTCTTCTGTCATGTCATGGAGGGGTGTCAGCACATGAACTAATCGTAGGTTGTGACGAAGCACGGTCGCTCAAGCGAATATATATTTCACTAGCTGTGCCCTGCCACGCGTTGCTGTGGCCCCGAATGGTGAAATGGAAAAGAAAGATAGTAGCTCTAAACTAACAGTGTCTGTCATAACCCACGACACCCTCAACCCCCCCCCCTCCATACTCTCCACCCAGCAGCAGTCATATCTCCCTCTCCGAAGGAATAAAAAAGCATCACTTAGCGAAATTATTAAAATAGAAATAGTTAAGAAATGATAACTTTAAAGTAATGTTTTAAGCTCTCTCAGTTAACAGTGTCTGCCATCAATCCCCCCCCCCCCTTTTCCCTCCACTAATCATATCATCCTCGCCAAAGAATGGGAAAGTCATCATCTGACGAAATATTGTAACTGAACTGAGCTTTGCATCCGTGTCCACCCAGAGACATGTGGATAGCATTAATGTGTAATGAGAAGTAAATGTGGCTAGTGTAACAGCTACCACATCACCCATCCAGTACCGGTACTACTGCTACCACTACCACCACCACCTTCAGAACAAAAACAAAAAACAGTCACTACTGTCTGTGCAGGTCGGTGTAGCAAGAGGGGTTAGCGCTGCATGATGTCGCCACGGACTGTTTAGTGTGATTGAGCTCACAACAAAGAAAAAGAAAACCCACAGTAATAGTCCGTTCTATATTCACAAATAGCGGAAATAAAAAAAAAAACACCCGTCATCTCCCCTCTCCGAAGGGACGAATGTTAAATGACCTTGGCATCCGTGTCCACCCAAAGTAAACTGGACTGTAAGCAGTCTTAGTTAACAGCTTCTGTCATCTACAAATAGTTTATCATCGCGTGAATCGTCGAGGGGAGGAAAAATGGGACTCTACTGAAATCGGATGTCTTTGGCCGAAAGGTGCAGATATCGCAGCCTAACTGTAAATCACAACACAACATGTCAACATTGAGAAAAAAAGGGAAATTAGCACCCAGTGGGTAATTGAACACTGGTCAACCACGTGAAGGTAGGATTACGTACAAATATACTACCTAAGAAGAGATTGGGTCCGATATCGCAGCCTAGCTGTAAACCACACCACAACGTTCCAACCGCCCTCTCAAAAGCGAACGTATTATATCTCCCTCTCCGAATGATTGAAACATTATTATGTGGCGACATTGTTAAAATAGAAATAGTTTAGAAATGTAAAAAAATGTTTTAAACTCTCTAAGTTAACAGTGTCTGGCATAACACCCCCCCCCCCCCTCCCCCCTCGACACCCCCCCCCCCCCCCCATCATGTCATCCTCTACGAAGTATGGGAAAGTCATCGCCTGACGAAATGTTGTTGTTAGGGGGGGGGGGGATGGGTCTAATGTGGGCTGTACTTAAATCGGATGTCTTAGGGCGGAATGCACGTGAAGGGCGGAATACCTACAACTCTACTACCGAAGACTGAAGACTTTTGGTCAGATATCGCAGCCTAGCTGTAAACCACAACACAACGTGCCAACCGCCCTCTCAAGGGCGAACGAATATTACCCGTGACATGAACATTGAGCATCACCTAGCCGCTATCGCAGGCTAGCTGTAAGCCCCAAAATCTAACGGAACAAAAAGCGTAGATTCTGCAGCCTAGCTATAAACCACAACAAAACGTGGTAGCCACCCACATTGCACGAACGCTTTTGGAAGTATTATAATATGGGCGGCGACTCTTGATGTTAGTGTTGACGTCCTGCCAGAGTGCCTGGCCCTGGAACCTGCGATCGTGGGGCTGGCTGAACTCTGAACTGTCCAAGGAGAAAGAAACAATACTACTGCATGTGTCTTTTGTTCCTCCGTAAGGTTGGTTTTCGCTGTATTCCCGTTATGTTGTTGACGTTTTTACAACATTACTGAACAAAGTGTTATGGGGATGGAGAATCAGTGAGACTTGACTTTTCTGTTTTCAGACTATCAACTTTAGTCAAATTTTCAAAATCATTTTTTCCTTATAAATAAAACCAGTACAGCTGCATACAACTTGATAACATTGATAGTCTTCATAATCAAGATTCAAGACCCGCTCGCGTTATCGTTAACTAACCCTCTTCCACATTATTTGAGCATGGGTTTTTAGGACCGTTATTTTAATATTATAACCGTTATAACATTATTAAATATTTTCTCGTATAGAGTATATATATATGGTATACTGAACCTCTTAAGAACCTGGGGTTTCGAGTTTCTCGATTGTTGGGAGGGCTGAACACTACTGACTACTGTCACTACAGTTCACTACACACAACCAAACAAATGAAGATTTTTGAACTCTGAGACATCTACAACTTTACTGCACAGCTGTAAGTTTTTAGTTTGTAACTGAAACTGTAAGTCACTTACTAAGTAGACTAAGATAAGATAGTCATTTTTAATTGTTCTTGGTTAAAGTTAAGACATAAGTAGGCTATCTTCCGAATAACGGTCCCAAATAATCGAGGCTGGCCGTTATATACCCTAACAGGGCCTCAGTCACATGTTAACTCTTTGAGTCCCAGAGCGTTTAGCATCACAGGCCCATGGGGTAGTAAAAAGGTCATAAAATCGGCGCATCATGCGTTCATTGAGCTTCTAGGTAGGAACCTAAAAATGTATGATGCGTTCCTTGAGACTCAAAGAGTTAATTGCATACTTCCGCCACTGCTGAGAGTATCTCCCAAGCCGCTGTGCAGGGCGTGGAGTGGGGCTAAACTAGATGGCTGGGACTCCCGAGCAAATAAAATGAAGGAAGCGGCAGGAGATGCAGTAGCTGCTGCACGTGAGTCCCAGCCATCTAGTTTAGCCCCAATCCACGCCGCACGTAGCGGCGTGGGAGATACTATCGGCTGTGGCGGTAGTCGCCGGAAGTTAGCAATGTTAGGGTATATTTTCAGCTTCGATAATTTGAGACCGTTATTCGGAAGATAGCCCATAAGTGCACATCAGTGTATAGTGTGCATTATTGAAGCTGACCGCTTCAATGCCTAGGTCTCCAGCATCCCTCACATCAGGGCTTGCTTTAGGGATGAACAGGAAAAGATCTACTCAACTTGACCTTTGTTGTGCTATTCATCGGTTGACTGGAAACTTCACGATAATTTATCTTTAGCATGTGCACACAAAACATCAGCCTGGTCAAAGGAACTTTGATGACCGGCAGGACTCCTGGCTCTGAGTCCCCTTCAGCACACAGCTATCACTGACACCTGCGCTGTCTTGTTTCACTAGTGATCCAACTGCCTCCCATGCGTCGTTACCCAAGACAGTTTCTTCTTGAAGTAGTACAGTTCTCTTGGCCTAACTCTGCCAACTTCGACTAAACTCTTGACTGTCCTCTAGACTAGTCTCTCGCGAGTGCTTCCACCTCAACTGTTCTCTCTCTCAACTGAACTCAACTCAGCTATATACACTTGCCTGCCCCTTGTGTGCTCCCGTGGACATGAGACGCTCACTGTTATGCGTGATTCCCCTTCACTGAGAACCCATGCTTTTCCTGCGACTGCTGCTATCCACGCACTAAGTATGATTATTTGCCCTCTCCGGGCTGACACTTTGTAAATTCACTGGTTCATCCAGCCCTGAGGCAACACTGACTTGTAATGAAAAGCCAAACTGACATCTCCTGGCCTAAGTCAACACTACACCAAATATTGACTCAGGTCACCAGACATTCCAATGGACTCACTCATTGTCCCTAACAGTGTTGCAACCCTTCCGATTCAGCACGCAACAACACTTATATTTGGTTTTTATTAAATATGCAGTTAAATTTCCCTAAATTAATTATTTAAATATGTTATACATTTTGTCATTCACAGGAGTAGTGGCCAGTATTGTCTGTTTGCTAATTTTGCCTTTCTCCCTGTCCCTGAGGTGAAGTTTCATCACCCTTATTTTAGTTAGCCATGCTTTTAAGACCTGAATTTTGAAAAATGTAAAAGAACGTCTGCAGTAGCGTACATTCGGGAAAACTTAGCTGCGTCAGATTTAGTTTTGTGTAAGACAAATATGTTATTGTGAGAATGAGGAAGCTGTTTGGGACTTCACGAAGCTGTGAAGTTTTATTTTCTGCTTGGGGTCTTGTGAGAAAGTGTGAAAATATAACAGATATTGTTGGAACACTCAGGACTACATTGAATTTTGCCAGTACAAGCTTACGGTATGATTTTTTAACTGGCAGAAACCGTTGCTACTTTTATTATGCGAAGACTTTAGGTGTACTGCCGGTGAAAGATTCTGCAAAGCCCTCATTTAATCATCAAAGAGATGATCTTACAGTGGAATCCATTTCTCCACACCAATTGAGTTCTGTGATGTTACCCATTTTCCTGCCACAAGCATCAATCACTTCGTCAACGTACATGAACCCAGGCAGTTTTTTCAACATAAAAACATACATGAATAAATTTCTGAATATGAACATATTTCTTAACAAATGTTCCTGCTTACAAACAACAAGTGTATATCCAGAGAAAGGTCACATGGTCGTGAGGTCATTGCATACTTTCTCCAGTAAATGCACTTCAGGCATTCGGAATCATCATCAGACAATGTACATGTGGAGCTCATTGTGGGATGTTCAGAAATGTACATATTTAAACCCAGGGTTGATTTCTTTGAGTGGTGCATTTTATTCTGACAAGTTTATCCAACTGTGTGGTGGTGATCATTATATGAGCTTGCAGCAGCGAAATTATTCTATCAGGAGAAAAAATTATAAATTTCCGGAGCTAAAGCCGGAAGAGCTGGAGGAGTCATTTGTCAGAGGAAGTGGACCTGGAGGGCAATCAGTCAACAAGACGTCCAACTGTGTAGTGCTGAAACATATACCATCAGGAATAGTTGTCAAGGTAAGTGTCACACATAAAACAGTTCTGCTGCTTCTTAGCGTTCACCGGCTGTAAAGAAAGTTCTTGTTGTTAGTCCACTTCTGGACTTTAGTCTTGTCTCAGAACAAGAATTTTGCCTGCACATCAGTTTTACTGATCTGGGTTATTTTTGTATGGACTGTTGGTTCCTTGCCTCTCAGGCAGACCCGACTTCCGGGGAAGGGGCAGTGGGTCTATTCTTTTACTACCTCATAATGGGGTTTTGGAACCCGCATGGGAAAAATACTATTCTATACAAAGTAGTTTAGTGATCAGAGAATTGGCTTGGTTCAGGCACGATCGAAGTTGGGCTGCTTAAATGCAAGACATGACCTGTAAAAAGATGTACATATCACACAAAACTGAACAAAGACACTTGGTAGAAGAATATGCTGTAACCGACTCCATCTGGGAGACCCGACACGTGCAAAAGACATGACTGTCACAGACACTTGGTAGAGAATAGCTGTAACTTACTACTTTGGAGACTGACTGTGAAAGACTGTCACAGTTTGAAAGAGGCCAAATGTAAGCGACAGAGAGAAGACATCTGAGAGAAAGCCAGGCTCAGAACAATAGGGTATCAATGTTTTTATGTGGACTGTATAGCAAGGACTGCCATTCCTGCATTGGACTTTACAGTCGCAAGCAGACGCTGTTTCCAAAACCTGCCACACATGGTCCCCACAAACGTATTGTTGCCCACACATTGGGTGGTGGGGGCAAGCCCAGTGTCACCCACCCTCCCCACCTCTATTTAGCATGCCATTTTAATGATGGGTGTTTACTTCAGCGTCAGAATGCATCTGCCTGAGTGACAAAGAACCAACATTCTGCATTATAATAAGCCAGATTTGTAAAACTGAACACAGTTTGCTCTATCTCATAGCTGCACACAGTATTCTTCTTCTTCTTCGCATTCACCAGCTGTAAACTCTGGTGGAAAGTTCTGGTTGTTCATCCAATTCAAGACTGCAGTCCTGTTCCAGAACCTGAGTGTTGCGTGTGCATCCATTTTACAGATCTGACTCATTTGTATGCAGACTGCTAGTTCCTTGCCTCTCAGGCAGATGCACTCTGACTTCGAATTAAGCTCCCAATTAGTCGACTCTTATGACATGCTTTTGGGTAGGCAGTGATTCTATTCTTGTTTTCCTTACAATAGGGCCCCGGAACCCACATGGGGTGCATACAGTATTCACTTTTCTCTTATAGTTGATTTTTTTCTCTGGCAAATTTTTTTTTTTTAGCCTGGTTACGTCCCTTTTGCCTGGGGGATACATACCCCTGACTGTGGTTTTCAGAGTGTTGGGGAGGTGCAGATATCACAGCCTGGCTGTAAACCACAACACACTGTACCACCCATCTGCCTTTTAAAGGGCAAACACAGAAGAAAAACGAAGCTAGAGCTGGGTTGACCAGCAAATTTTTAACAGGCATCTAAAAATCCAATGTATATTAACTCCAAGCCGTTTGTATCAGTTTCCAGGCTTCACTGCCATAAATGTGAACTAATTTGTTTTCTTTTTGAGTTGTTTATTTTTGTTTGTTTTAATGTTAAAAATTATTTTTTATTTCTCCAAACAATGTCTATTTTAAATGTTTAATGTTGCATTGTAAAAAAATTTTTGTTGTTGCTTTTTTATTCCTGTCTAGTGCCATGAGACAAGGTCACTTGAAGACAACAGGAAGCTAGCCCGGCAAAAGCTGGAAGAGAAGCTGGATCAGATGTGGAATGGTGATGAGTCTTTCGTCAGCCAAGTCTCAGCAGACGGCGCTAAGCACAAACAGGAAAAGAAACGTCGTGCTAAAAAACGTCTTGAACTTAAGCAAGCTTTCAAAGAGAGAGAGGGCTTGGATTAATCAAATTAAATTGAACAGAATGTTGCCTGTGTCCAAATATAATTACCCAGTTAATGCCATGCAGCAAATTTGATCATATTCCTCTGCCACTTGTGTTCTTAATAATTTCAGCAGATAGCCATCGTCCACAAAATTCCATCGACCTGACTATTTTGTTTCCTTTTGACCTCTGTCTAGGAGACAATCGGGAGTCGCCGTGGCCGAGCGGCTAGACGCTTGCCGCGGATCGGAAGGTCGTGGGTCCGCTCCCTGGCAGAGCTGGACTTTTTTTCAAAACTGACCTTGGCTCCCAGGTCGACCCAGCCTTGAGTGGGTCCCGGGAAAGTAAAGGCGGCCGGGGTGATGCTGACCACATCACCTATCTTGTGCCGATTGGTCTATAAAAATAAAGGTCTAGCCCTATATGCCCTATACGCTTAAAGGTGTGGAAAAGGGTCCTTTACTTTTACTTACTTACTAGGAGACAATCTACATTCTTTCAGCAGTCATGACAAGGAGAAAATTGGAGTACATTTTGATGGTTGGAAAGTAGGAGGGTAAAAAAAAAACAGAGAAGATGCTAGGACAGTTTGACATCATGGCATAGAAAAATCATCTGTGTCAAAACTGATTGAAAGTACATGAGACAGAAGGTTATGGATAGACATGACTGCCAATGCCACATGACATAGACTGTAAGAAGGAAAAGATTTCTGGCTCTGATAAGCCCCATCTTTTCAACACGTATACTGACAGAATTCCTTGCAGAAGACCAGAATTCGTACAGTTGTGATCATTTTCCTGTCACCACTTGCAGGCATCATGTGCACTGAAGAAGCTGACCAACTGGCATTTATCTGACACCTATATCAGGAATTCAAAGAAATTAATGGAGCTGACATTATGAACAGTTTGAAAGCAATAATCTCCAGGGTGACCTAGGGTCAGCTGGAAGACAACATCTGACAGTTCCTGACTGACAAAGGACTGGAATCGAACAAAAACAGAAAGAAAACTGCTGATAGAGACGTCTGGCGATCTCTCTGGCAAACCTGTATACACCCCAAGGTAGAAGAGGAGCGACTAAGTAAATAAGTAAAGCAAAGATAGAAAGCTGAAAGACTGCTGTTAAGGTTAATTTTCAGCTTAGGAAAGAATATTTATAGTGTCTGTGGTTCTGGCATACATGGAGTGTGCTCTTGCTGTATACAACTAATTACAAGTAGCTGTACAAATTGCCACAGAGAGCCATGCTGAAAAAAATATGATGAACACACAGCAGAGAAAAGATCAGGCAAAAGATGCCATTACAGCATCAATAACAGACAAAATATGCTCTGTAGCCATCAGAAGGCTAAATCTAGTTGCTTTTGTGACACAGCTTGTAAAGGACAAGATATTGCCTTTTCTGCAGTGACTTGTTCTCGTAAAGGGTAGTTAAGTGCTGTTGGGTTGAAATGCTCTTGCAAAATGTTTAGGGAGTTGGGTGTGAATATATTATAACATTATTATATATTATAGCATTTATAAGGGTTTTCTTGTATATCAGTAGCTTTTTTAAAGCAAGATTGACTAACATTTTCCCTTAAGCCTCAGTGATAGAGATCACATGGCTATGGCATGAGTCACCCAATACAAAATTTGTTGTAGGCCCTGTTGGGGGATTGCATTCCATTGAATGCTTCACCCTCTTCTCTTTTACTTGTTACTTTTTTTTTTTTTAAATCGCATATATTTTGGGGGAAAAAATGATAAATACATTTTTTAGAAATATGTTAGTACACCTATGTAAACTTTTTAAAAATGTTTTTTTTTCCCCTGGAATTCCAGTGGGACCATGACCCATTTGTGTGTGTGTTCTTGGGGCACAATGGTTATAGAAATTAAGATCAACTTATGCAATGTATTAACAAGAACACGCAGTATATCCCCCCCCCCCCTTTCCCACACACACAGACACCTTAGTGAGGGAACTGGACGAAGAGAATATGACAGTGTTAAGTTAGTTGCATCCCTTTATATGACGTTGCAAAACCAACCCCAGCATGTTTTGACTGTTGTGGTTTTTCTAGGCAAATTTTACGTTCAGTAGTTTGCCATTGTTGCCTCAACGGTCACCTCTTGGTACCACTGTCGAAACCAGCACAAGAAAAATCATCTGCAGCTGGGACCGAACCTGGCACCCCGACATTATGAAGCGCGTTCACAACGTCTAAGCCACAGACGCTGACAGGGTACATTACTCATATTCAGTCACACATGATCCGTTGTTTGGTACTGAGAGAATTCTTCATGTCCGAGCTCTTTCAAGTTCTCCTGTACACCTGATGGCAGAAAATCACCAACACACAAATTGATATCTTCTGCTGGAGAGAATACTGGGTCATTGAGAATGATTGCCAGGATTCTAAAATGTGTGGCATCTTAAAATGTGTGGAAAAGTTTACAGTTTGAGACCTACCTAGTGCACTTTGATATGGTTGTTATTTGTAGCTCTGGTGATGTCTAGACATTCTTGAATCTCCTGTTATATTGTCTGAGCTGTGCCCAGAGTTACAGTTGCAGTCGCTGCAACAATGCTTTCTTTAAGGTGATGGATTTTCCTTATCTTCTCAGTGTCGTTTTAAGCCCCCAGGCACACAAGGTCAAGCAAAACTAAACTTTTGTGAATATTTCAAGAGGCCACACAGGAAAATCCATTTAACACTTTTTGATTATAACAGATTAAAATCCTGGCAATGATTCTCAATCTGTAAAGTGACATGTTTGCTAACACAAGTTAGCATGGCACTTGTTGATAATGTATATTTTGTACTATATGAGATTCCTGTGCGGATTCAGGGGCCCCATTGTGGGGAAAAACAAGAATAGAATTGCTGCCCATCCAACAAGCATGTCATAAGAGTCGACTAATTTGGGGCTTCCTTCAGACAAGGAACCAATGGTCTGCATACAGATAAGCCAGATCTGTAAAGTGCATGTGCACCCAAAACTCAGGTTATGGGAAAGAATAAAATCTAGAAGTGGATGAGCAACCAGAACTTTCCACTGACTGAAGTCTACAGCCGTGAACATGAAGAAGAAGTTGATGATGCTCATTTCCTTATAGATATTTTTGTGCGTGAGCATGTCCTTGTCAGAATGCATCAAAGATTCATACATGTTATGTTTTGTCAAAGGTCGGTAATTGTTCATTACCTGTACTTATGTAATTACTTTGTGTCACAAGGATTACATGTCCTTGAGTATTACACTATTTATGCCCTGTATCAGTCAGTTTCCTTTTCTCCACTGGGACAAAACAAAACTTGTAGTTTTTGGTTTGTTTTTATTTTCGCATAATTTTCTCTCTCTCTCACACACACATACACATATACATCCACACCTTCCCACCCTCTTTATATCTCTCTCTTTCTCTCGTCTGTCATTCTCAATAGCACTTACATAACACCATCCCTCTTTATTTCTCAGTCTTCTCGGCTTAAAGGGGGAATATCATGGATGGCTCAAGCAGAAGACACAATAAGACAAGTATGCATGCTGGAGAACATTTGACGAGGAGAGAATTGGGTCAGAGTACCAGCGGGAAAGTCTGACCTGTGTAAGGTTATGATTACACTGGGCCAGGTGTGTAGAGAGTGGCCAGCGGGTGCTATGGAGGTTGAAGTCCAACAGTTAATTCACCCCCAGGTGATCTGATTATCTATACAGATGGTTCAGTGTTGAGAGGAAAGAGAAGAGCCTTGGGGTTTGTAGCGAAAGCCAATGGAAAATCTTTAGTGCAAGACAGCCTAGCATATGACACCACAGCATCTAGCATGAGAATAGAGGTGGAGGCGGTAACTGCAGCTCTCCGGTAGCTAGAGAACAAGATGCATTCACATGTCGTAATTGTAATAGACTGTGAAAGCATGCTGAAAAAGGTGGGGACATGGATGCTTCGAGCAGAGTGGCAAGCTTCACTGGAAAGGTCACGGGTGGTGAGCATACTTTGGATCTTTCATTCCAGGCTATGCCGGCGTGATGGGTAATGAACAGGCTGACAGATTAGCTGGATCCGCACCACTGGATGGTGAATTGATACATGACAAGGCAGATGTGGTCAAGACCCTTTGGGAACAAGCAACGGAATCAGTAGAGAAAGAAGATTATTATGGCCTGGAGAGAATGAGGCACCTGGGTGTAACCAGAGGGTCTAGCCGGCTCACTACACTCAGAGAAAAGGCAAGATGGACTTTTAACCAGATTGTTACTGGCACCATCAGTATTGGAACTCTGTGCTAGCTGCTGAAGATGAGGACGGAGCATGCATGGGAATGCCCCGAGGGCTGTGATGTCAAATCTTGACTCAACTCAGTCTTCTCACTCTCTCTCTCTGTTTGTTTTAGCCGACTCTATGCCCCCTCCCTTCTCTCTTTGTTTCAATCACTCAATCATTCTCTATCTCTTAGTCTTACTTCCTTAAGTCCCTTTTCCCTTCCCTCTCTCTTCCAGAGCCTCAGACCCAACAAACACTTGCAGATAGTATGAAACAAAATCTCATGGATTGCTGTAAACAAAGTTACATTAAAAAATTATATACATGTTTGGTGTTATGGTTTTTTTAAAAATGTGAATAAAGATTTGTTTTCAAATTCTGAAATTGTTATATGATTAAAATTTTATAGCATCATTCCTGGATCTGTTGACTCTGTATGGGTTCTGGGGCCCCGATGTAGGGAAAAAAAAGAATAGACCCACTGTCCCTAACAAGTAGGTCGTAAGAGTCGACTAATTAGGGACTTTCCTTTGAAGTCTGAGTGCATCTGCCTGAGACGCAAGCAACCAGCAGTCTGCACACAAATATCCCAGATCTGTAAAAGGCATGTTTACGAAGAGCTCATGATTGGATGAAGTGCCAAAATTCTTTGCCGGAGTTTACAGCCAGTGAATGCAAAGAAGTGTGAGAAGTTAAGTTGAGTGAAAAACCAACATCACAGCACTCAGGCATTCCCATGGACTGTTTATTCTCCATCTTCAGCAGCCAGTGACAAGTTCCAGTGCTACTGGTAGCAGAAGCAATCCGATTATTTGCCCGTCTTGCCTTTCCTGTGAGTGTAGAGTGTCAGCCAGATCCCCCGACCGCCCCCTGCTGCATCAGTCTCTCCACACTGTTATGATCTGTTGTGGTTCCGCACTGTTCACTTGCTCCCAAAGGACTTTCACTACATTTGGCTTGTCATGCAACAGTTCACCACCTTGGGGTGCAGCACCAATCAGTCTGTCTTTCTATTTATTTTCCAACACACCTGGATACCAGAGAACACATTCACATACTATCTAAGATCTCTGAAGCAATGCTTGACACTCTGCACAAAGCATGCCTTTTTCCATGGTTTTTAGCTTGATTTGTGAGTCTGTTACAATCAGGAGATATGTGTGCAGCTAGTTCTCAACCCAGTGTAAAGGTGACTTCCATCTCCATACTTAAAATTAAACTACATGTTGTACAACAATTTTCCAAGAACAAGACACCGCAGGCTCAACTACCACATGCATAAAATAAAGATTGCACAGTCCCCACAGTGTGCATGTCAGGTAGGACAACAACACCTTAGCACATTCTGCTGACCTGCCCACTCTACTTACAACTTTAAGAAGAAACCTGGCCTCAAGAGCAAAGTGTGCAGGGCAAGCTGTGGGGAACCATGAAGGACCTGCAGCTGACATGCGAGTTCATAAAGGCAACCCACCTGATGGTCTGATCTGAGCATACGAAACTGAATGCGAGGAAGAAGACTACTTTGTTGTATCATATCCTAGGCTCTGTTTCACCAAACAATGTCCATTTGCTTTTCCAGCAAACCGCCATGCATATTCTCTGCCTACCAACACAGAGCCATCTGTATAGAAAAATCACATACTTTTAGTGTTTAAATCTAACTGTGCTGTTACAATATGGATTGGATGTTATCATAGTAACAAATGCAGCTAAATGTGATTCTGTATATGAGACAGTAAAAAAGTTGTTCATCTCTCAGGTTTACCAAACCAGATCTGTTGCATTAAACAGGGACAGGATTGTACTGGATCTTGCTTGATGTGGGCAGATTCCGCTGGTCGTTGCCTGATTACACCGGATGTTACTAAACTGGACTGCACCGAACAAGTCAGATAGTATTCAGTAGATGCTGACAAATGGCTGCAAATATTCAACATAAAAATGACAGGTGGGAATTCAATCATTTGAAATGGGTTGATGTGATTAAAATATTCTATGCAATCTTTCTTAATCAATTGAGACGACACAGATAATTCTAAGAGCTGATTATTTGGAAGCTGCGGAGATGTGGTTTTAAAGATGAATGATGAGAATAACCTGGACAGATAAAAAGAGTAATAAAGATGTCTTGAAAGAAAGTGACTCATAAAGAGAACGGATTGCCCACATCAGAAACAGACAAAATGCATTCTTTGGTCATGTGATGAGAAGGAGAAAATGAGTGCATCGGTACGGAGGGGAGGAGACGCAGAGGGAGACCAAGAGAGAAGATGTTGGATAGTTTGACATCAGGGCAGAGAGAATCATTTGTGTCAGATGATTAAAAGTACACAAGATAGAAGGTTGTGGACAGACATTACTACTAATGCCACACAGCAGGAAACTAAAAGAAGAAGACAGCTTGAATAACTGAAATACCACTCTCAAATGTCTGTGTCTGTGATAGTTTGTCTGTACTTCCCATTTGTGTTGCCCATGTATTAGTTTTCCCCTGTCTGTGCTCACACATATATTCTCATCTGTTTGCACTCATCTATTAGTTTTCACCTGTCTGTACTCACACATATATTCTCATCTGTTTGCACTCATCTATTAGTTTTCACCTGTCTGTACTCACACATATATTCTCATCTGTTTGCACTCATCTATTAGTTTTCATCTGTCTATGTTTACCTGTCTGTACTCACACATCTATTCTCATCTGTTTGCACTCAATTAGTTTTCACCTGTCTGTGTTCACCTGTCTGTACTCACACATCTATTCTCGTCAATCTGCTCACATCTTGCAATTCTCACTACCTTCTCCTTCTTGGCATTCACTTGCTGTAAACTCTGGCAGAAAGTTCTGGTTGTTCATCTACTTCTAAACTTTAGTTTTGCTCCAGAACTTTCATTTTGCATTCACACCCATTTTACAAATCTGGCTTACTTGAATGCAGACAGTTGGTTCCTCACGTTTCAAGCAGATAGGCTCCAACTGTGGAAGACAAATTCCTTAATCGCCTTTTATGACATGCTTGCTAAACAGTGGGTCTGTTCTTTCCCCCTGAAGTGGGACCCTGTTACCGACATGAGCAAAGTCTCATCTGTGCATACTTGTTTATATTCACCTGTTGTGTATCACCTGTGTGTACTCACTTCTCTGTACACACATGCCTGTCATGACTACCTTACCTGTTTAATGACCTAGTTGTTGCCTAACACAGGTTTGGTGGTGTCCTTGTGGATGTCTCTGAACAGGAATTACCAGACCTGAATGACTTCATCAGCAACCTGAAAGGTACGTGAAACACTTAATTTGTTTGATACACAAAGCATTATACTCAATGACTCACTGTCTGTTCCCCAAGCGCTGTCAAGCAACAGCAACAAACACTCACTGCAGATCTAAGGACCAGCATTAGCTGGCTTTCGAAGGAAGCAGAACTGGTCCTAGAGAGGATACCAGCTCACTATGATATTCAAAGAAATAGGAGAGCAGATGAGCTAGCAAGAGCTGAGAGTAATCTTCCACAACCTTATCCACCACACAGATACAAAGAAACAAAAACACCCCTTAAACAGTTATTCAAGGAGTAATGGAGATGGCAGAAGGAAGATTACAGTGACCAGTGACAGCAACAACATAAACAAACTCAACAGGAAAGAACAAATTAAAATTTTAAGCTTCAAACAGGACACTGAAATCCTACAGCTCATTTACACAGGATAGCATAAAAGAATCTGCTGCCTGTGATTGTGGAGCAGACTGACTGACTCTTGAGCATGTACTGCAGTATTGCCCAAACTACTCTCTGGCAAAGGTTGTGGAGCCACATTACAAGAGAAGCTGTGGGAGACCAAGGGTGACCTGAGATGCACCGTCCTGTTTGTGACCCAGACAGGACTGAATGTTTAGCTTGGCTGATGTCTAACACAGATGATGATGAAGTATGAGACACAAACAGTAACATATAAAACATACAACTCGGTTTACTAAATTTTCATATATAGAATCATTTACACAAATATTTAAATTCTAAAACATTATAGTTAAAATGTGTGTATTATGTAAAAACACAACACTACAGTTGTATTTTATGTGTATTGCACGTTAACTGCATACAAATACTTGTTAATGTGGCTACTGAGGAGGAGATCAGGGCATCTATGGACCTGTTCATAGTGCTGCGATGGTAGTAATCACTAATAATATGAATCGTCATCATCATCAATTTTCACTTTTGCTATTAAGCATCGTGGGGAGGAATAGTTTGCGATCCATTGCTAGATGAGCAACAATGGCTATTATTATTCCGTGTCCATCAATCCATCTTCTCCTGGGTGACATCCTGCTTTTACTTCAGATCTTTTCAGGTGTAGTGCCTGCGGTGATAGTCGTTCTGGCTGCATTCTTACTAGATGACCAAATCATTTGATCTTCTGTTTCTCAATGCATGTACACACATATACATGCATGTATATATACACATATATTCACATGCATTCTTACATTTCTGTATCCCACTGAGTATGTATACACCAACAAATACACAAACAGAGGCACACACACTGGAGAAAGAATCTAGAAAATAAACCTTTCGCCCCGTGAATGTTAAATAAACCCGAAGGAATTTCCCAGAAGAAACCAAAATTTGTTGTTTTTGAAAACAAAACAACCTTATTACACAGGTCTATACATTTTTTTGACAATTTTTTTTCAATCTACATTTTAAAATGTTTTCAAAATATGTAAAGGGGTAATCAATAAATGTGAATAGAGTTAAAAGAGTAAAATAATAAATTTAATACACTCTGTGAGGGCATTTTTAAAAAAGCATACACCAAATTGTGTCAGGTGATTCAGGCCATGACCTCTATCACTATGGCTTACGGGAGAATTTGACATCAAATTGGCTGTTACAAAAAGCCAAGGGGGTCATGAAGACCCCCCCCCCCCCCTCCCTCCAAGCTATTTTTAGTTACTATATTCATATAATGGCTGATTTCCATTGCATACAACCTTACTTGAGCAGATGGCAGTTAATTGTCAGATTATAATTAAATCATTGTTTTCATTTTATTATTATTATTATTCTGTCATCTGACAGATGCCCTAAGACAGTGGAAGGCTGATGGAAAGCGAGGTGTGTGGCTAACATTACAAACAAGCCAGTCTAGTTTGATTCCAAAGATAACTGAGGTAAGTTTAACAGGACACCAACAGATTTGGTTGTTCCATACGTTTTCTGTTCATGAAATAATTCACACCATTTTGAACCCAGGTCCACCAGCCATTAACGTGTTGACCGCTGCAGTTTATTATCTGTGTACCTAATTGCCAAGATTGGCAGACAGTGTTGATTTGTGTATTTCAGTCTATAGCTTATTATAGTCAAGCAAGAAGTCGGCTGCAGTACAAGTAGTGGCTGGAGCATAAGGATGTAAGTTGAGGCAGTCTTTGCATCGCAGAAGTGAATAGCAGAAAATAGAGTTACCAGAGAAATTATAGTGCCTGATTCTCAGTCAGTACTACAGGTGGTTAGAAAAATGTAACTTGATTAGATACCAAGCATTAGCACAACAGCATTACTCATGGATATACTGTCTGGAATCTGCGGGAGTGTGAGAGAATGAAAGAGCAGATTTTCTGGCTACAAATTCCATAGCTATGGGAACCCAGGTGCTGGATAACGAAGACATTTTGAAGACCACTTACGAACGAATGCTGATAGAAGACATGAGGTTAGATGTAGTAATAACTTGTATAAGAATGTGTGAACAAGGAATTAAGTATTTATCCAGCAAGGAGGAATGTATGAGAGAAAGAGAAACAACATATGTCTAATCATTGTGCTATGAGAACAGTTAACATCTATACCTGAAGACATTTGCTACTGGAGATGGAGCACCTGTGGATATGCCCAGTGTGCTGTGACGTTGATTGTTAAATCAGAAATCATTTAAAAGGATTCTTGTTTCATTATATACTGATTTAAACTCTGTAGTACTGCACTTTATGAGATACTTCTTCTTTTCTCTTTTCCTGGAAAGCCTTCTGGAGTCAGGGAGGGAGAGAACTCTGGAACAGGCTCTTTTTTTCGCTTCGTGTAATGTACTTTTCCGTGTCTTATTTCTGCAGTTCATCTGCATGGCTAACCTCTGGCTCTGTTACGGTAGTATCTGTATAAGATTACTCTCTGTGGTGCCCTGTCTGATACCAATCTTGTTACATGGCCAGCCATTTGATTTATTGTCTACCTAAAGTTCATTATTAGTTTGGGCCTACTATTTTCATCCTGTCTTCTGAAGACAGTGTCCATGTTTGACATTGATAGCATTGGTAAGAATATTGTGTTAAACTGTGTTCTTTTAGTATTCATATTCACCTGCCTGCCATTAGTGCCATTTTGCCTAAAACTTGATTGACTGTACAACATCTTTGTTGGATATCTTTATTGATTCTTTCGTCTTATGAAAAAAATGCTTTTAACATATGTAAAGAGAAACATACAGGCAAATATGCAAGGCAGTAAACTGCTCAATACATCATGTCATTATTACTTAAAACTCATCTAATCTGTGATAAATAAAGGCAATCTTTTACTTTTAGCTGGGATTTGACTTCCATCATGCCAAACCTGGCTCTGTGTGTCTCACCAAATGGTTGCCTGAGGACATTCCCAACCATATCCCCGGGTATGCCAACCATTTCTTGGGTAAGTTTTGTTATTCTTCCCCGTATGATTATGCCCTAACAGTTTCCAGATCAAGTGGCATCTACACAGCAATCGGTTCTATCTCAGTAACTCCCCCCAAACAGACAGTCAAATTTTTAGGGGATGGGCTGCATGCAGTAGTGGGACCTAGGCTTCACTCTCTCGTGGGGCGTAGGTGGGTTGGGGTTAGGCCCAGTTCTATATGTTTTAGGGTAGTTAAAAGCATTCAGAAAGCCGGGTCTCTTACCACCCTAAACAATATTGGACTGTCCCATGATGTCATCCTGGGGGAACACCCAGCAATCTTGGTTATGGTATTTCACAAGACGCTTCATTTGAATACAATGTATATCTTGTCTTATAAACTGAAATATGTTGGCCATATCAAGCACCACAGCAGATTGGAAAGAATAATAGCAGAATTCATGATACAAGGAAGGAGGGGCAGGGGCTAACCAACATGATGATGGGCACAGGATATAAGTGGCACCTTGGGTAGAAAAGTGCGTGAGGTGAGAGAGCTGGTGAAAGACCACATCTTTTTCAGACTGACCATTATGAGAGTGATGTTTTGCAAAGGACCTGATTCATGATGATGATTGCAGTGATCATACAGTGTCATTAACTTGTTAATATTCATTTTCTACCTCTTTTTCTGCCCCTCAACCATCTTTTTCTGCTACTCCTCCTCCACTCACTTCACCATCTACATTGTTACTCTTTTTCTTCTTCCTCTTGTTCTTCTTCTTCTTCTCCTACTCCTACTCATTTTTTTTTCTCCATCGTTTTCTTCTTCTTCTTCGCGTTCACCAGCTGTACACTCTGGCGGAAAGTTCTCGTTGCTCGTCCACTACTGAACTGCAGTCCTGCTCCAGAACCTGAGTGTTGCATGTGCATCAGTTTTACAGATCTCATTCTCTTGAAAACAGACTGTTGGTTCCTTGCCTCTCCGGCAGATGCACTCCGACTTCAAAGGAAGCTCCCCAATTAGTCGACTCTTACGACATGTCTTTGGAGGGGCAGTGGTTATATTCTTGTTTTCCCCACAATGGGGCCCCGGAACCCACACGGGGGTAATCCATCGTTTTTTTAATTTTGTCTTCTTCTTCTTCTTTCTTTTCCTTCCCTTCCACCCCTGTCTTCTTCTGCTACAACCGTTTATCCTCCGTTGGAGCATTCGTCTTTATAAATTATGTTGATAATTCTCTAGCTTCGAAGTTACCTGTGAGATCATCAACTCTTACTTATACCATTAAACATTGTGGAAGGAACAGTTTGCGATTCATTGCCTGATGGGTAGCAAGACTGTTGCCAACTCATGTTATGTAGAATGTCTTTCATTCTTTCATTTCATAAATCCATATTTTCCTTGCATGAACTCTGGTTCTCACATACTTATAAGATATTATGAGCAATGTCTCATCTTTTTAACTTGATTTTATTTATTTTTTACAAAGGTTATTTAGTTTGGCTCAGGTAATTTGACAACAGACCACTATGCATTCACCTTGACTGTGGTATGGAGAGCCAGCCATTTAGAACCAAAAACCCAAAGGCAAACTACTGAACATTAAAAAATTTGCCTAGTAAAACCAAAAACAGCAAAGAATGCTGGGATTGGTTTGTAATGTCCTGTACAGGTTTACACAACTAACGTTTTTTTTACTGCTGTCCTCGCGCAGGTGTTGGAGGGTTCGTGATAAATGACCAGAAGCAACTGCTGGTCATCAGAGAAAAATACCATGCTAACAACAACATTACAGCCTGGAAGCTTCCTGGTGGTCTGGCTGATGCAGGTAATGCTGCTGTGTGTGTGGTAATGCTGCTGTGTGTGTGGTAATGCTGCTGAGTGTGTGGTAATGCTGCTGAGTGTGTGGTAATGCTGCTGAGTGTGTGGTAATGCTGCTGTGTGTGTGGTGATGTTGCTGAGTGTGTGGTGATGCTGCTGTGTGTGTGGTGATGCTGCTGAGTGTGTGGTAATGCTGCTGTGTGTGTGGTAATGCTGCTGAGTGTGTGGTAATGCTGCTGAGTGTGTGGTAATGCTGCTGTGTGTGTGGTAATGCTGCTGAGTGTGTGGTAATGTTGCTAAATGTGTGGTAATGCTGCTGTGTGTGTGGTAATGCTGCTGTGTGTGTGGTAATACTTCTCTGTGTGTGGTAATGCTGCTGAGTGTGTGGTAGTACTGCTGAGTGTGTGGTAATGCTGCTGAGTGTGTGGTAATGCTGCTGTGTGTGTGGTGATGCTGCTGAGTGTGTGGTGATGCTGCTGAGTGTGTGGTGATGCTGCTGAGTGTGTGGTAGTACTGCTGAGTGTGTGATAATGCTGCTGAGTGTGTGGTAATGCTGCTGAGTGTATGGTAGTACTGCTGAGTGTGTGGTAATGCTGCTGAGTGTGTGGTAATGCTGCTGAGTGTGTGGCAATACTTCTGAGTGTGTGGTAATGTTGCTAAATGTGTGGTAATGCTGCTGAGTGTGTGGTAATGTTGCTAAATGTGTGGTAATGCTGCTGTGTGTGTGGTAATGCTGCTGTGTGTGTGGTAATGCTGCTGAGTGTGTGGTAATGCTGCTGTGTGTGTGGTAATGCTGCTGAGTGTGTGGTAATGCTGCTGAGTGTGTGGCAATACTTCTGAGTGTGTGGTAATGTTGCTAAATGTGTGGTAATGCTGCTGAGTGTGTGGTAATGTTGCTAAATGTGTGGTAATGCTGCTGTGTGTGTGGTAATACTGCTGTGTGTGTGGTAATGCTGCTGTGTGTGTGGTAATGCTGCTGTGTGTGTGGTAATGCTGCTGAGTGTGTGGTGATGCTGCTGTGTGTGTGGTAATGCTGCTGAATGTGTGGTAGTACTTGTGTGTGTGTGCTTTTACTTTGTCCTCCAGTATAAATTTTTTAGAGTGGCTGGCTGAGCAGTTAAAACCGCTGGGCTATCATGCAGGAGACTAGGGTTCAAATCCTTTTAAGTTGATGGATTTCTTTTTGTCGGGGGCGAAATTAGAATCCTAACCGTCCATGCATCCTCCACCAAACAGTCCACGGCAACCACAGCAGTCGTCGAGTCCCAAATTCTCTGGCTTAAAGGACCCGGGTGGCCCCGTCCTACACTGCCCTCAAAAATGATAAAAGCAGGCAGTTGAGACAGTTGGACTTCCTAAGATCCTGTACTGACTTTACACTTTACATCAGGAGCGGGCATTGTCCGTCCATTCAGCCCATGAACTCATTTGGTCTTGTCCCACCATGGCAACCACAATTTTTTTTTTCACCAAAAAAAAAAAAAAAAAAGATTTGCCTGAAGGTTTTGGGTCCAATTTCCATTTTCTTTCCAGGCCTGCTTTGGCTGCCAACCTGATTCCTAAAATGGGTACTGTGTCATGTCCTGGGAAGTAAAGTCGACCAGCAAGGTGCTGACCACATCACCTGCCAAAGCTGAATATTCTTTAAAAATAGTAAAAGTAAAAAGTAAAGGACCCTTTCCACGCCTTTAGGCGTATAGGGCATATAGGGCTAGACCTATATTTTTATAGACCAACGGCACAAGATGGGTGATGTGGTCAGCATCACGCCGGCCGCCTCTACTTTCCGGGATTGCACCCGGTATCCACTCAAGGCTGGGTCAACCTGCGAGCCAAGGTCATTTTTTAAGAAAAGTCCGTCTCCGCCAGGGAGCGAACCCACGACCTTCCCATCCGCGGCGCGCGTCTAGCCGCTCTGCCACGGCGACTCCCTTCTTTAAAAATATGAGCGAAGAATTGTGAGCCTAATGCACCACTGGGGAAATGAAGTTCCGTGGCAGGCTAGTTTTTAAATTTATAATAATTTTTTTTAATGATTTGTAAATAATATTATAATATCCAAAAGTTCCTAACCTGTTTTACATGCAGGTTTTGGGGACTGAGTGGTCTCGAGGCATGGCGTCGGCCTCGAGTGCTAGAGGCCCCGGTGAAGGGTGGGATTTTTTCACGTGGACTTCTATTAATTTCCCCTGGTCTCTGGGTAGTAAGATCAGACGCTGGTGTATATTATTGCGCATGAAAAAAAAAAATCCCTTGGCAGTTGGAAATCGAAAATAATAGCCTAACGGAAGTGCCCGAGCAAAATTTGGAGTTAAAAATCTACCCAAAGCATTTCAGGATCCTTGCCGGTGCTATGGAGTTTGTGCACTGTACTGAGAGCCTTATGACTCAGGCTAGCGTTACAAGTAGAAAGGAGTACTTATGGGTTACTACACTGGTGCCATGATATTGATCCGTTGTTTAAACCATTTGTATGAATGATCACTACTGATTTATGAATCAACAGGGCATATCCATAGATGTGCTGTCTCACACAGCAAATGTCTCAAGATTTAGATAGGGACTGTTCCCAATAGCGCACTAGTTGTACAAATGTTGCGATCTCCCTCTCATGTGTCCTTCCTTGCTACATCCACACTTGATTCAAAATTGTGTGGACGAACATTTCAGGAGAAGATATCGGTGAGACAGCCAGAAGAGAAGTTCGAGAAGAGACAGGTGTTGACACAGAGTTTGTGTGTGTCATTGCTTACAGGCATATGCACAACTATCGGCATGGATGCTCCGACTTCTACTATGTGTGCCTGATGAAACCGTTGACTGCAGACATCCAAGCCTGCCCTCTGGAGATTGCAGAGTGCAAGTGGATGGATGTAAGTGGGAGATAATCTTCACTTTCATCATTATTATCATCTTTTTCCACTACCATTAACTCACTCATTTCCTTTTTCTTGTTCTTCTTCTCCTCCTTCATTTGTCTTTTTTTTTTAATAGTGTCTTAATCTTCTTCATCTGATTTCTCCTTCTTTCTTCTCAATCCCCTCCTCCCCTTTTCTTCTTCTGCTGCAGCATTTTATCCTTCATTGAAGTAGACGTCTTCATAAAAATAATGTCCGGTCATTTTTTTCTTTTTCTTTGTGACCTCTTGCACCGTTCCTTTGTGGTTCATCTCTCTGTCAGGAGTCTCAGTGGCAAAGTGGTTAAGCCATCTGCCTTGTGCTCTGAAGATCGTGTGTTGACTTTCTTCTCCTTTTGTTCACCTTTATCTTCTTCTTCGTTCACCGGCTGTAAATTCTTTCAGAAGATTCCGGTTAATCGTCAGCTTGGACTTTTGGCTTTTACCTGAACCTGAGTTTTGCGTATTGAACCGTTTTACTGGCTTTTGCCGTTCCCTGCCTCACGGGCAGATGTACTCCGACTTCAAGGGAAGACGTCAGGCCTATTTCTAAGATGACTGGCCATTGTTTTGTGTGGGTCAAGATGTTGCCTGATTTGTGTGGTGTCCTCTTTGTCCCTTTCTCTACAGGTGTTGCTCCCGGAGTACCCCTTTAGGGGCAGCCCTATGTGGAACGGTTAGCCCTCAAGGGGAGGCAGGGTCTCACACTGAGCTTTACTGAAGGTCAACTCGTTCATACATGATGATTCACTATCATCAACTCCGTTCATCCCATAGTCGAACTGGCCTCTGACACAGATCATGGGAATTCCCCGCCATCCAAGGAGGCTTCCATAAATGCAGAGCTGACACATGATGCTCTGGTTCTGGGCTCACCCAAGGAATCGTCACGTCCTGCACATATGCCTGCCTAACCTCACAACCGTATTAGGTCACCGATGACACTGGCTGCGCCCTCCGGAGATCAGCGGGGAGCAGCCCGCGGGTTCTAGACTTTTGTGACCACATGAGTAGATACATTCTTTTTTGTCGCCCGTTTGACATCTTCAATGAGCCGTTAGCATGACAGAATGGAGAATCCTGCGTCAGGCATATCTTTATCTGTTTGGTCCCAAAACGCGGACAAGTGGGGTTTCAGGATGTGGACATTTGGACTTTTTCCCAATCAATACGATTTATGATGGTCAGATTTTGAGCTTGCTTGTTTGCCGAAGGATCTATTTTTGTCAGACTTTTTGGCTTAGTTAGCCGATGGACTGTCACTGTCGTAGTGTACCTCAGCGCGGTGACGACGACACTGAGGGTTGACAGAGGATGTACATGGGTAGAATCTTGCTGCGAGAGGCCACCCACAGCAGATGTTACTCGTCTGAGCTGCGGGTAAATCTCTTGGTCAAGGGTTGAGTCTCGGTGGCACAATATTCTCTTCACTCCACAAACTTTTAACCGAGGGTTGTCATTCTAGTTGAACATTTGGCAAGCAGACTTTACTCATGTTCCTAATGAGTTTTGATAAACTTTTTCACCCATGTGTTTGGGGGCGGGCTAACGAGAGCCACAAGGACACTACACCACTGGGGGCCGCCAACTCCGAGATCCCCTGACAGCTCTGTTAATGCTCATTTGAGACATTATCTGGGGCCCACAACGAGGAGGTGCTGCAGGAGTCTTGCACGAGGTTCTGTAAAACCAGAACAGTGAAGGATTGGTGCCCGAGTGACGTACCAAATAGCTCCTTATACACATCACGTTGTACTTAATTTTACCTCACGCCTGTGACAGAAATAACTGCGCCACTTTCTTCACCTGAAATAAGTTGTCTATATTAGCGATTTTGGCTATCCTCCAAATAACGGCCACATATTATGACGGCCAAAAACACACCCTGACAGGGCCTCATTAGGTCGTATGTTGTGAGCATTCAAAAACTCGAAAACAATAAGAACAAAAAAAAGGAAAATGACCAAATCGACTACTTAGCGATAATTGAGGCCTTTATATCTGAAAATAGTGGCACAGAAGTTGCAAATAGTACCCGAAAATCTGCTCTTTGTGGCTGTGGCGCCATTGAAACTATGCCGCATTGGTAACGCAGTTTTCACCACCTAGAGTATCCCCCGGGCCGCTACGTGTGGCACGGATAGGAGGCTAAACTAGATGGCTGGGACTCACCAGCAAATAAATTGGGGGAAGTTGCAGGAGATGCGGTAGCTGCTGCTCGTTAGTCCCAGCCATCTAGTTTAGCCCCCCATTGGCGCCACTATGCGCAGCATGGGGAAAACGCTTGGCGGTAATTTTAATCGGAAGAACACTATCGCTAACCTGAGTCGGAGCGCGCGGTCTCCCTGCCGTGTCGCTATTATCGTGTGTATTGTTCTGTTTCTCGAAATTGTCAACGGACAGTAATCCTAGTTTTGCCGCAATGTGTTCATCGGAGGGAGTCCGCAATTTACATGTGATTGAGGCCCTGTCAGGGTGTGTTTTTGGTCGCCATAATATGTGGCCGTTATTCGGAAGATAGCCGCAATTTTGCCTCTTTCATATCTCTATTTTTAATTCTCTCACCCTTCAGATTCAAGTGTTTTTGTTAGTGTTCAACATTTTGTTGTATTTCTGCCATGATGTTTCTTTATTGTTTCTGGCATCTCCGACTATCTTTCTTGCTGCTCTATTTTTTTAAGATAATCTTGATTGTTTCTTTTCGCCCAATCCTAGTATCTATATTTCTTCTCGTGTACTGTTCTTTTTGCTTACTCATTCCTTTCACCATGATGTTATTAATGGTCTTGTGCTTCTCTTCTGTACCCTTCTGCGTGTTTCTCATCTTGCTTCTAAAATTGATCTTTTAAATATTCACCATTTCTTTTCTACTGGTTTTGTTTCTTTGGTTTATCTGGTATAATCTTTAAAAACTTTTTTAAAGGTATGATTCTTGTGTCTTGTCATTCTTCAGGTTATCTTTGTATGTTTTTTTTTGTGGTTGTATGTATTATGTATTAAACTAGCTTGAATACAAGTACATTTATTTAATTTGTTAGAGCCAAATCATTATATTTATTGTCTGATTTCAGTTGGATGAATACGAAGCTATGGACAGCATATCTGATGTCAACAAGTATGTCGTCAAAAAATACCGGGAAATTGTCTTAACTGGGAATGTCATTGGAGTTGACAAGGTCATATCCTTTGACAAAAAATCGTTACAAAATGTATACAGTGTGCATTCAAAGGGCAGCAGATGTGAGAGCTCACAAGCAGAAAATGTTGCTAATTTATAACCTCTTTACCTGAAACAGAAAACATTTACTGCAGAAGATTAATTAGATTGAAAGAAGAGAAGTAGCTTAAACACAAAACAAGTTATGACTAATTAGAAAAAAAGGAGAAGACATGCACAAATACAACCAGAACACATCAACCAGATTCTTTGTCAAGGTGCACAAATACAAGAATAGGTTGTATTTGATGGAGGAAAAACAATAGATTCTGGGAAGAAAAAGTTAAGAAAGTTAATGAAAAAAAAAATAAGAAAATATGTTGGCCACATTAAAAGACATAACACTCCTTTTAAAACAGTACTGGAGGGAAAGAGGGATGGATGAAGGGTAAGAGAGTAAGAAGAAGGCAACAATACAAGTGTCAGGACAACATCAAGAGATGGGCAAACAGCAGTCTGAGAGAGTATACAACCAAGACAAAAGATAGAGAGTATTGGAGATCCATTGCAGTCTACCTTCACTCTGGAGGCGGCACCTGATTAGGTGACAAATACAACCAGAACATTTCAACCAGTCTTTATTATTGAATAAAACAAGAGGTTCATTAAAAAGCCGTCAAAGTCAACACCCATCGTTTGGTTTGTGTCTAGTTACTTCTCGATATCATTGGTGTTACTGCAAAGTCACCTAAGTGTGATTTGACAATTCTTGCCTAAGTGCATTTTTAGGGCAGTTACTTGTCATTTTACAATATGCTAAAGGCAAACATGTGAATTCCTGCCCCAAATAGGTCAAAAGTAAGTATTACTTCTCACGAAACTATACATTTTTAATTTGCTTCTTTGGCCCCAAAAAATGTCCAAACACCATTTTCTTAAAATTATGTGTTTAGCAGTTACTTTACTTTGGCGTAGTGCCATCTTGACTGCAGTAACTCTTAATTAGATTGTTACAGTAGTTAAGATGGCAGTAACTCTTTATTAGATTGGTGTGAGGAGAATGGTGCTGCAGGGAGTTCCCAGGGGATCTGGCCGATGCTCAACACTCAAGGGAAAGGCAAGAAGGATATTCAGTCAGACAGTTACTGGTACCGTCGGAATTGGAACTCTTCGCTTGCTGCTGAAGATGAGGATGAAGCGCTTGTGGGAGTGTCCATGTTGTGTGTGATGTCAATTCTCAATTCAACATTCAACATTTTTTTTAGATTGTAATCGGTGAATGGTCATAATGTATCTAACCAGAGCATTCACTGATAAATTTATTTAATCTGAACTACTTTAATTGCTTCTTTGGCCTTTGTGAACACGCTCCGTAATTCCCAGGCACCCTGGTGATTTGGTAGCAAACTGCCTTGCATTGATTTTGAGAGAGGTATTGAGAGTCAACCATTTAGAAAGCAATGGCAAACTACTTAATGTAAAATTGTCTGGTAACACCAAAACAGCTATCAAATGCTGAGGTTAGTTCTGCCACATCCTGTAAAGCCAGGCTGTTCCACTAAGTTTACTCAGGGGTCAAAATCTGGAACACCGAGATCCTCACGGGCCAGAAGCCAAAGTCTCAACATAGAAATAGTGTTGATACAATACAGCTGGCGATGATCCAACAGCTACTTGTTATGGTCAACAGTTTCGTAGGGGTAGTTACATAGCTGGGGCTCTGGGGAGTGTTGTGGCTGTATTCTGTTTAGGTGTCCATTGAGTGGAGTATGTTGATTACAATTCAGCTGGCGATGATCCGAGAGCTACTTGTTAAGTCTTCACAAACCAAATCTGGCCCGAGGGTCTCCAGTTGAATAGCCCGGCTGTAAAGGATACCTGACTACATTTTTAACTGTAATTTACATTCTTTCTATCTATCTATCTAGATACTTTACTACATTTGTAACTTTAATTTACATTCTTGTAATCTATCTATCTAGATACTTGACTACATTTGTAACTTTAATTTACATTCTTTTAATCTATCTATCTAGATACTTGACTACATTTGTAACTTTAATTTACATTCTTGTAATCTATCTATCTAGATACTTGACTACATTTTTAACTTTAATTTACATTCTTGTAATCTATCTATCTAGATACTTGACTACATTTGTAACTTTAATTTACATTCTTGTAATCTATCTATCTAGATACTTGACTACATTTGTAATTTTAATTTACATTCTTGTAATCTATCTATCAAGATACTGGACTATATTTTTAACTTTACATTATTTTAATCTATCTATCTATCTATCTATCTAAATCTGATCCATATTTAAATGAACCAGTATCTTTCCATCTTGATTTCACTAGCAGTAATTTAATCTTGCCTTTGCTTCCGCTAATTACAAGGATGTGGTAATTCAGAGGCAGCAAAGTAATTGTTACAGATAGTCATTTAGTTCAATGATATATTTTGAGAAAAATAAATTGTTCTTGTAGTGTTACAAGTATATCGTAACAAAGTTTGTTTTGTGATTAATGTCGCGCGCCCACGTGGGTAAATACACTGAAATAGTGAGGGTGTGGGTTTGAACCTTAACAATGCCCACCCACGTGAGAAACTGGACTATTATCTAAGCTATGTTGATCCTAGACAGTCCTGGATAGCCAAGAAAACAGCGAGTGGCTCGTTCCATGAAATGAAAGTTGCTGTACTTGTATCCACAGGAGTAGGAGAAGGGATAGATAGATATCTGGATAAACCCACTGTGATATAATCCAGGTGCTCAGTTAACCCCTGCGACTGGTCTCCTCTCCTGGCATTACTTAAAAGCCCCCATCAAGTGATTTAAATATTTGTTAGCTGAAGTAAACTAATATGCACAAAGACACTTGAACCTAAGTACACAATTTACTCAACTATCATGAAACTCATCACACATGATTTTATTTGAATAAATCGAAATTAAAATAAAATGAACTTGTTTAGGCTAGTAGAGTTGAGGGAGTGTGATTGATGACAGTTTGTACATATACTTAACTCCTAGTAGGAGAATTCACCGTCAGGACAGTTCTCGTCGGCTTGAGACCCTGCCTATCTTTTCCAGTTTGTCGTCCTCACTGCTTTCTGGCAGGTCGTTACACACTCGACGGTCGGCAAATAATGGATGCCCTACTAGTCCCTGCCCAATGTGGGAACTGGAGAATGAAGAAACAAGCGCATATTTGTAGTATCTGCTCTAGATGTACACTAAGCATGTATATTATACTAACATCAAGCATGTTATATTTAATAAAACATTTCATCTCTCCCTCATGCTCACATTCACTCCTGTCCAATTTGGAAGGGCTTATGTCTCACATTCCAACTGTTACATCTTCTGCCTTCCTCTACACGTCCTGTAATGATAGTCAAGTCTTCTACGTCAGGGTGCCATCTCTCGTACAGACTCAAAATGACAATCAGTCAGACAGACCAGTTCTGAATCTATGCTTGGAACAATCGACGCGCCCAGAATGCTAACAATAGTTCTGGGGCGAATCAAAATAACAAATCTCGTGGATTTACTCTCCCGGGATCAATCTCCGCATTAGCCTCCCGAGAGTTAAACACATTTTCAGTGTGTAAGCTGTATGTAAATACAGATTCACATTAACCACACGTGAAAAGATTGCCAAAGTTATCTTCACGCTTGTGATTTCAAAAACATGTGATAGTTTCATTAAATTTCAATGGCAACAAAAACATTTAGGTTTTACAACATTGAAACACATGTGCACGAATAACATTCATGACACTATCAAATAGGATATAAAGCAATGTGACAGTGCCCTACGAGAATGGAGAAATGTCCGCCTAGGAGTATTACAAAGTGATGTAAAGACACACACTTGAGCAAAAAGACAGTTAGATCTCTATCATAAATAAAATAAAGGTTTTGAAACTAATTTCGATCTTACCTGGAAAAATGAAACCACAATGCCAAAAGTTCTGTCTCAAGCTTAGGTTAGGTTAAGCCCAACAGATGGCATGTGCTCGACCGGATCTCATTTACCAGACCTATAGTTCACCACTTTATAACTTTTATCAAGCTCCTCCTACATTTACGCCTAAAATCATTCTCATTCAGGGAATCACAGCTCCTCCCTGTGGGTGTATATTCACTGTCAGTCAGTGACTGTACAACAATTGTTTGAATTCCCACGCTCACATTCTACAGGTTCAATTAAGCTGGTCCCAGCTAATAGGCCTAGTCACACCTCCAGTCTACTTCACCTGTCATCACAATAAAATCCGACTTTGTCAATTCTTCTGCCAACACTTTCCGCTCACTGTGTCAATAGTGACCGTCGGACCTGCTGTCGAGTTAGGTAACCTCAGGGGGAGATAATGGCAATTAGCCCTTGTTATCTGTTCCTGAAGGTCTGGCCGGGGGAATAACTATCTGACACCAACAAATGGTGTGCAAATCTCCAGTCAGTAAGTCTGCTTGGTCAGTCTTATCTCTGTACCTTAACACCTGGGAAAAAGTTGTAGTGTTTGATATGACCAACGGTCCAGGAGAATTAAAGGTGTGATGTGGTCGTCCTATTTAGATTAAGGATGTATCCAAATCCCTATTTGTCTGTATTAGATTTTTTCTCCAGGTCATGCCTTCATGGTGGGTAATGAACAGGCAGACAGATTGGCTGGATCTGCACCACTGGGTGGTGAATTGATACATGACAAGGCAGATGTGGTCAAGGCCCTTTGGGAATGAACAAGCAACAGAATCAGTAGAGAAAGAAGATTATTACATCTTGGAGAGAATGAGGCACCTGGGTTTAACCAAATATTCTGGCTGGCTCACTACACTAAGAGAAAAGGCAGCTGGACATATAACCAGATTGTGACCGGTACCATTAGTATTGGAACTCTGCGCTGGCTGCTGAAGATGAGGACAGGGCATGCATGGAAACGCCCCGAGTGCTATGATGTCAATTCTTGACTCAGCTGAACTCTTCCCGGATAGTTTCAAGAGTTATGGTGTGGCCTTATTTGTTAGGTGTTCACTTTGTGCCCCTATCTACAGGTGTTGCCCCTGAAGAACCCATCCAGGGCAACCGTGTATAGACTGGTCAGCCCTC